GCTGTATAGTATTCCATTGTATAAATAATACCACATCTTCTTTATCCAGTCATCTGTCGATGAACACTGAGGCTGTCTCCATGTCTTGGCTATTGTAAATAGTGCTGCTATGAACACTGGGGTGCAAGTGTCTTTTTGAAATAGGATTCCTTCTGGATATATGCCCAGGAATGGGCTTACTGGGTCATGTGGTAAGTCTATTCCTAGTCTTCTGAGGAATCTCCACACTGTTTTCCACAACGGCTACACCAAACTGCATTCCCACCAGCAGTGTAGAAGGGTTCCCTTTTCTCCACAGCATCTCCAACATTTATCACTTGTGGACTTTTGAATGATAGCCATTCTGACTGGTGTGAGGTGATACCTCCTTGTAGTTTTGATTTGCATTTCTCTGATAATTAGTGATATTGAGCATTTTTTCATGTGTCTATTGATCATTCGTATGTCTTCTTTGGAGAATTGCTTGTTTAAGTCTCCTGCCCATTTTTGGGTTGGGTGGTTTGTTTTTCCTTATTAAGTCATGTAAGCTGCTTATATATTCTGGAGATCAAGCCTTTGTCAATTTCACCTTTTGCAAAATTTTCTCCCATTCGATAGATTGTTGTTTTGTTTTGCCCATGGTTTCCTTTGCTGTGCAAAAGCTTGTAAGTTTAATTAGGTCCCATTTGCTTATTTTTGCTTTTATTTCTATTGTTTGGGTAGACTGCCCTAGGAGAACACTGCTGAGATGTATGTGAGATAATGTTTTGCTTATGTTTTCTTCTAGGAGGTTTATTGTATCTTGTCTTATGTTTAACTCTTTGATCCATTTAGAGTTTATTTTTGTGTATGGTGTAAGAGAGTGTTCCAGCTTCATTGATTTACATGCTGCTGTCCAGTTTTCCCAACACCATTTGCTGAAGAGACTAACCAGTCATTCTAAAGACTGAGACTTACTAAGGCAAAGGCCTACCTGGTTTCACCCGGGGAACCTGCAGATCCCCGGTGACAGGGATGCTGACAGGGCAGTCTAAAGCGGTCCAGGGAATCTGCATTTGCATCAGCTCCCCAGAGCTGATGCAGGAACTGTACTGTCTGGAGAGTTACCTTGGTATATCCAGAGCCTCCCAGATCATTCCATGTCTTACCCACATCCTCGCTCTCCACAGTCTCAGGGCTCCACTAAGTGTGTGAGCTTTTCACCTTGTGTTGTGCGGTCCACATGGCACGGGATAAAGTGGCCTCCTTCCTGACTCCTGGGCTCTCAGCAGGTCTCCCAGTGGGCGAGGGATCACAGTGGGGAACCTTGGGGGTAGAGGGCCCTAAATGTCACCTGGCACGCAGTAGGCACCCAGAGCCCTTGAAAAGAGAGTCTCAGAGCTGCCCCCCTGGGGAGGGGGCAGGAGGGTCCCCAGCGGGTGGACCGGTGCCCGCTGACTCTGCATCTGTGCCCCCACAGCGGAGACCTCACCACTGGCCGGCCATGAAGTTCCGCAACCACCCCAACCACTCCACCTACACAGAAGTCGAGCCCTCGGGCCACGAGAAGGAGGGCTTTGTGGAGGCCGAGCAGTGCTGAGAGCGCCAGGTCTCCCTTGAAAGGGTAGGAAGGAAGACCAGGGGGCCTCAAAGAACACGGACGGGTCAAAGCAAAGCAGAGAAGTGACTTTCCTTGGCCTCCTCCAAACTACCCTGGCTGGGAAGATGAGACTGTGGTCTGTGGTGCCAGAGCTACGGTTTGGCCATCACACCCCAGATATTGAAGTAGGGGGCAGAAAAGCAACTACACAGAGTTTTGAAGAACCTAACTTCCTCCTGTGCTGTTGCAAGGGGCCTCCCCTTCTGAGTCTCTCAATGGTCTACTCTGGAGCTGCCCCAGAGGTCCCCTCCCACCTGGAGACGGCCAGATGCCTTGCTCCCATCACCTAACCCCCAGGCATACTACACAAGAGGGGCATACTACCCCTCTGGATGGGGGCCGTCGCATTCCAGGGTCCGTAGACTCAAGAGCTGGTCCTCATGGCTATGGATTTGGCGTATTTTGCCCCAGCTTCTGTGCTCTGGGAGTCTGAAGAAGGTGTTCTCTCATCTGTTAAACATAGGGACCACGGCTCCCAGCCCTTTCGGCCAGCCACAGCTTGGCATCCTAGCATCAGAAGAAAAGCCAAATGGGAGGGGAAGAAAGAACTTGTGGGGAAATTGCATTCTTAGGCTTTGCTCCCTCAACTTGCCCTTTCTGCTGAGAACCAGTACTTATGCGTTAAACATGTGTGCGCCCACGTCATGGGCTTTATCCGACTGCAGCCCAGACTGGGCCCAGCGAGCTGTGCTGTGTGCGGCCACGTCTGCCGTGTGGATTCTTCCATCCAGTGGCACATTTGGTGTCCACTGTATTCGCTGGCCTGGGCTATCAGTGCCAGTCAGTACCTCCAAGGCGGGGCCTGCCTGATTAATATTTTTCCTCGCCTGAGCTGGATTTTTATATCCGTTAAAGAGAAAGAAGATGGAGAGAGGGCTTCTTGAAACATACCCAGCAGGGAACTTCAGTTGGATTTTGTCAAAAAGGAAGTGGTGTGGGAAGGACAGACTTTATATGGAAGACCTTGACCTGGAAAGTTGCTTCCATCTCCCTAGCTCTGCCAGAAGTTCTTGGGGCCAAGAGTGTAGGCTCCCAAACTTAATCTGATTTTAAGGGAGTTCTGTCCCACGGATGAGCTGGGGTTGCTTCTGAAGAGAATGTCAAATGAAAACCTATAGTTCACCCTCATTCAAAGTAAAAAAAATCAGCAGCAAATAAATATTAAATCACAGCCTCCATTGAGTCATGTCCTTTCATGCATGTCACCAGGACTGAGGTGGGGGTAGGGAGTCTGCAAATAACCAGTTACATCCAAACGCTTGAATGAGGGTTCCCTAAGTACTCCATGGTTTATCCTTGGTGAGGATGCTAATAACAATCAGAGCAGGAAGCATATGTTCACTTCATAATCCAGACAAGGAAGAGCGAAGATTTTGAGAAATCATATCAGAATTTGAGAAAGAAAAAAAGATAATGCAGCAGAGAGAATAGATTTCTTTGCAAGCTTCTGAAGGACAGAGAGGTCTGAAACAGAGCTCTCATAATGAGGAAATTGCAGCCAGCCACTGAAATACCCTGGGCTCCCAGCACTGCTGGCTGGCAGGAGGGTGATTTTTGCATTTGCCCTACCAGCAAAGCATCCCTGACCTTTGTGTGTCTAAAGTGGCCAGTGGGGCAGTTCTCAATGTGGCCAAATACACTCCACAACACCACATGTCCCACTCCCCAACTCCAGCATGCTTCTTCTCAGTGGGAGCTCTTCCAACTCTTCTGATCCCCGGAGGGAAAGAAGACTGAAATTGAAGGAATGGGTGGTGATGTGCTGAGGCCTCTGCCGGTAACACTGCAAGTGGAGGAAGAAAGCTTGCTGGTCAGAGCAAGCCTGGCTGGCCCCTGGGATGACATGGGTGAAGGCAGTGGAGCTACATGGTAGCAGGTAGCCTGGTTTGTTAACAGCAAAAAAAGATGTGTCACTAAGAGAGGCCCTTGGACATTAAGAGCCCCTCAAGGGGGAGGGTATAGCTCAAGTGGTAGAGCAGATGCTTAGTATACACAAGATCCTGAGTTCAATCCCCAGTACATCCTCCAAAAATAAACAAATAAGTAAACCTAATTACCTCCCCCCACCAAAAAAAAAAAAGTTAAGAGCCCCTCAGGCCCCAAACAGGTAGCCTAGTGCTCCCAAGAAACAACGCCAGCATCTCCCAAAGGCAATGCTGATTCCTAGCCAGCCTTGGGGTCTCTCTTAGACCCAGGAGTTTTACTTCAAGATTCACAGAAGGTTTACTGTCTAACTAGAGAGAATGACTCACTTGTATGTAGAGTGAGTGACCAGGAGATATAGGAGTTTTCAGCCGGCAAAGTAGCACTTGCCACGCTGTGTCTGATCAACCACAGAAAGCTCACAGACTTCCTGGTCCCTCTGCCCCACGGGCAGCTACAACCTCTGAGGAGACTGTTGCTGAATCTCTAAGGTTCTTGGTCTCCTTAATCAAAAGAAATTGATGAGGCCAGATGAGAAATTCAGGCAAGACTTTAAGCAAAAACAAGTAACAAGTTCCTTGCTCACTTCCTGAGGAGGGTCAAGCTGGTCCCTTAAGTGGGGTGAAGGTAAGGGCGGGCCCAGGAGTTGGGCTGAAGCAGGTGGCTTAGGTGGTCTGCCTGCCACCTTGGTGATGCCGTGTGTGGGGAGGGGTCATGGGCGGTACCCTGCTTTTGCTCCTGACACCTCGGTAGTTGGGTTTTTGGTCTTTTTATATCTTGTTGTTCATAACTCACCCCAACTGTGCATGCACACAGTTATTTTTAGTCCCTTATAGTTTCTTTGAATTCTGTTGTTCTGCCTGGTGCAAGCACTGCAGCCCAGGGTCCCAGGCCCCAGGTCCTAGGTCCCAGCCTGTCTCAAGAACAGGTGGTCAGCAGGGCCTTCTTCCCCCACGTTGTGTCTTTGGGCATCCTCACGGTGATCTCCCCATGAAAACTCATCACTGCGACAGGAAGCTTCAACCCTGGAAAACAGGGCCCTGGGAGCTGTTTGTGTTGTACCCAGAAGCCAGAAGCTCTCAGGGAGGCCCTGTTTTACACCAGAACTCTTAGAGAGCCAGCAAGAAAATGAGAAGAAGAGCACGGAGGCCAAATGTGAGAGGGGACCCCTGGATCAGGCTGTGAGCACAACTTTGTTCCCCTTTAATGAGCCGCCCCTGTCCAGTAAGGTCCCTGGGCTTTCTGATTCTAGAACATGGGTGCATATAACCCTGGCCACCAACCCCAGCACTTAGGAATGCCCCACGTAGAGCAGATGGGGTTTCCAAGCTTGGCTGAGCAGCCATCTCCCTCCTGCCATAGTCAGGTATCACTGCCCGCTCACCCCAGCTGGGGGCCGCTCCTTCAGGTCTCAGCCTGGAGCCTGAGGTTGAAAATCTCCTGTGTCACTATGAGAGGTTCTCCATGGGCCTATGGAAACAATTTTTAAAATTTTTATGTTTTGCCAGAGTTCCTCTGTGTAATGTATCCCTGTATGTATATATATTTAGGCACACACACAAAGGCACACTCACACATACATATATGTATCTACAGAAATTTTATTGCAAAAAATAATGATGTTTTAGCTGTGCTCAGCCTGTAGCTTGGTTTGTTATATTAAGACAGTGGCAAAAGCTGCCAGCTGACCACACTATGTGAAAAACAGAGTGTTCACCACTTGGGCTGATCACTCATCTCTTTGTGGGCAGAGCTAAGACTCTGTTCTCTGGGTACTGGAACAGATAGCAGATTTGCACGGAGCACTGATCAGGGGCTGCACCCAGACTCCCTACACCAGGTAGAGTCACAGATAAAATGAAGCCCCTTTCTTCCTCCCTCCCTCTCTCCTCTCCATCTCTCTTTCTCACCATCTCCCATTCTTCCTCCACCCCCCCAAACAAAAAGCCACCCGAACTTACTGCACAACTAGAAGGATCTGGGGTCTGAGAGCAGCCTGGCTGTCCTAAATGCAATGTATTCACGTAGTGAGTGTGAGAATTCTCTGCATGGATTCTCAGTGTTAACAATAAAAGGCACACATTCTTTTACGGCTTCTCCTGTGTGCAAAATAAAGTGCAAAGGATTCTGAGCTACGTTCTGCAACTCATCACACAGACCGTAGCCCTGATGACGGCCACCTTCTCTAAGGACTCGTGCTAAGGAGCAGAGGAACAGCCTCCAGCTATCTGGCCATCAGGGGTGCTCTTCCCAAACTCCTGTCCCCACCTCTAAGAGAAACAGCCTCTAGGCTATTTCAGAGACTCGGCTATTTATTTATTCTGAGTTTGTAAGTCCCTGGAAGGAAACCTCATGGGATTCTATCTACTATCTAGAGATACAAATTAAATCTGCCAAGTCCATGCTGCCACATTTCTGGAGGCTTTGCATTCGAACCACTTTAGCAGCCTCGTCGTGTTTTTATTACTTGGCGTTTTTTGCTCACAACACATGGTTAAGCAAATCAAAACAGAGGAAAAATCTGAACTCCTCACAGCCAAAATCAGCCATGCCAAATTTCAGGCTCCAAACAAGCCAGCTTATAAATAAACATGCTGTGTTTGCCAAATCAATAGGAATATGTTGGAGAAGGCCACGTGGACTGGTGAGGAAGGCCGGCCTGCCCCGCAGTGCGTCAGAAGGCAGGAGCTGCAGCCCCAGCCCCATTCCTGAGCAGCTGTGTGATGTAGGCTAAGTCACCTAACTTCTCTGGGCCTCTGTGAAATAAAGGAGTGGGAGGACTAATTGATCTAAGGTGAGGATGTTCTCCTCTCCTTAGCAGATATGCTCATCTGTTTCTGTTTTGTTTTGTTTTGTTTTTTTCCAGTTCTCAAGCAGCTCAGACCAAAGCACCCCTTTCTCTGCCATTATCCTGAGGGACTAACTTGTTCTAGTTTGCTTGGGACTTCCCGGGTTCTAACTCTCAGAGTCCTGTGTCCCAGGAACCTCTCACTCCTCTACCAATTGAGGGACCACCACATCAATTGGTTAGTCTATCCTTGGAATCTGTCCTGACCCCATTGGCTGAAGAGATCACGTTAATAATCTCAAGAACTTGTAGAGCATTTCAGAGTGTTGGACCTACCTATTCAAAACGTGGTCCATACAGGCATCCCCTGGTGGTTAGCCAGAGATGCAGAACTCAGGCCCACCCACTCCAGACCTACTGAGTCAGAATCTGCATTTGAGCAGATGACCAGGTGACTCAGGTGAAATGCATGAACATTTGAGAAGCATTTCTAGGAAGCAGTTTTACCGACATGATCACAGCCTGTTGGGGCGGTATCATTCCCCCATTTCCCAGATGAAGAAACTGAGGTTTCCTTCTTTATTGATTCATTTGATCCATACTCATGAAGCACCTACTGTGTACCAGACACCATTAAGTGACTTGCCCAAGGTCACACAGCTAGTGTGTAGCTGAGACCATCCCCAAACCCAGGACTCTGGATTCCCATCTGAGGTGTTCCCTGTGTACCGCGGGGCGGTGTCAGACCTTGTGGCCACAGTTTCAATAGAAAAGCTGATTGTAGATTAAACAGAGCCCTCAGAGCCCTCCCAGGCTTGTAGAGAGCCTGAAAAAAGATGCGTAACAAAGACTTTAGATACACGCTCTTGGCTCCTGAAACTGTGAGCTTATCAGCTGTTTATTTACACGGCTCCAAGAGCTTAAAAATGTCCTCTTTGTCACTGCCTCCTTCTCCAGAACCCCCACTCCAATGACCCTCCTACGTGAAATTTGGAAACACTCTCCTAGGGCTTTACAGAACACCAAGGCCATGCCTCCGCGCTACTTATTTTCTTGAATGGAGGACAACTGATTACTTCATTTGCCACGATGGGGCTGGAGAGCAGGCAGATGGGGAGGGGAGGGAGAATCCTTACTTGAACTGCTGATACCAAAGAGAAATTCTTTGGGGGACGATTTTTCTGACGTTCATAAAACATTTTTACATTTGGTCCCGAGAGAGAGCTAAATCATACCCACAGTTTTCCACAAAGCTAAAAGCATGGAAGAAGAAACATCTGAATATAGGCCAATACAATCTCATCATACTTTTCCAGTCTTGGGTGAGAAGCTTCCCTTCCAGCCTTAGTCTTTCCTCTTCAAATTTTTTTTTGAAGAAAATTGATTGTCACCACCACGGGATCAGATGGAGTAGCCAACATGTATAATGTAAGACTCACCGTGTCCAGCTGAGAAAAGTGAAA